CCAGCCGCTTGGCCAGCCCGCCGCGGCTCGGCTCCTCCACGTGAAACGTTCTGGTCAGCAGGTTGTAGAAGGAGCCATAGCACACAGCCACCACGGTGCAGGTCAGGCAGATGACATTGTAGGGCATGCTGAAGTCTGGCGTCGGCAAGTTCACCAGCAGCGGCTCTGTGTACAGGCGCACAAAATAGCTGGAGCCGTCGGAGGAAGGAAACCTGGAGAGTGGAAGCAGGAAAGGGAGCGTCAGCCCACACAGGACCGCGGCTTCGTGCTCACCAGATGAGATGCCAGCGGCCGGCAGTGCACAGGCACTGCGGTACGGCCCCGCTCCCCAGCACGGGCACACTCACAGCGAGGTGAAGAGAGGGCTCTGCTCCACATCCACGTCCTTCATGGCAATGATGCTGGGTACCAGGGCGCTAAGCACAGATGAACTAAGGAGACAAAGGACATACTGGTGTCAGTCCTGCCAGCAAAGAGACAGCAAGAATTCTTCCCATCACAAGAGACCGGGGCAGCAAGTGCTACACGAGGCCCAGAAGGGGACAAGGAGCTGAGGTATGTTGTTACCCGACATAAAAGCCATGGTTGGGGTCAGGCGTGTACTCTGTCCACTTCAGTAAGGCTCTCTCAAACTGGATTGTGATCTTGGTGATGGAGTTGGCTGGCAGCTGGATCAGCATTTCCAAGAGGTGAGGCCGTCTCCGGTCCTGGGCTGGCTGGTAGTGGATGTAACCTAACCCCAAAGAGACGCGTCAGTGGCACCAGGGGGACCTTGTCCAATCTCACATTGCCTGGACATCTCCCATGGGGTGGGTGCTCCTGCTTCCACTGTCCTGGGAGAGGTCTTCTCAGCAAATGAAGATGCACAGGTAGCAAAAAGTACGTCTTAAAGCTAAATCGGACTGGTTTTTACAGCTGATGACCCATGAAAGCCATGTGTTCATAAGGAAAGCTACAAATGCAAAACAAGATCCAGTCATCAGTTTTAAATGGAGCCTCCTTTACTACAAAAATCAATTCACTTGGGTTTAGACCCTTGTTGGATTCTGAAACACTGTCTGGGTGCCTCTTATAAAACAGATTTTATTAAGTCTCATCTGCTGAGTGCTGAACTGAAGGCTAGGAAAGCATCCTAAGATGTTTTGTTTCCCAGTGATCACTGGGGCCCGAGGGAGGGACTAAACCATCTCTGGAATGAACTGCTCATGCCAAGGGAATCCGGTGGCAGTGCTCTCGGGAGGGTTTACTTACTTGGCTTGTTTTCCTTCCCCTTCGTGATGATAGTCAGCGTGTGCACATAGAGCCGCAGATACCATGGCACAGTCTCCAGCAGGAGCACGGGGAAGGCCCGGTACGGGTGGGTGTTGTAGATGAGGGTGCTGATCTCTCCGGTCTGCAGCCCGTATCCACTCACGTAGCGCTGAGCATGGAGTACAGGTGTGGGCAGTTCCGCTGCAGAAGAGAAAAGCACACAGGCATGGGGGTGATGCCAGGTGATTTTTAGGCTTGGAGCCCCTGAGCAGCAGTGCAGGTGGAGTGAAATTCTGGTCGCTCACAGCTCTCTTGGGGCCGCTGCCACTTCAGCTGCACATTGAGGCTGCGAGATGTATTGAAGAGCAAGGGGCTCAGCAGGTCATAGACTGCATAGGTCCTCTTGTCTCCCTGGACAATAGCTTCGTGTACAGATGTCGGAGGGGGGGTCACTTCCAGTAACTCCTTTTCCTGAGAAAGCAAATGGACCGTGAAAGGAAAAGTGCCCCTTGAAGTAACTGTCAGCGCTGGGGCAAGCCCCTCCGGTGCTCAGGAGGCTGTTCTCTGGTCCATAAGCGTTACCTTGTTCTTAGGGGAGATGTCAACATAGACCTTGCTCTGCGATGCCAGAGGACACGCGTCAGTAAGTGTGCGAGAGAACATCTTAAAGAGGGACCAGTCTGCAAGAAGCAAAGTCAGTGGAAAGTGGAGTGCTGCAGGCTGGGGGCACTCAGGGACCACAGTGCACTGCTGCCCAGCTTACCTTTCTTTCCTTGGCCGCTGGCAAAGGTGTCAAAGACCACAGTGAGGGTCTGCCTGAGCTCCCAGGACACAGCCAGGCAGGAGGCATCCTGGACAAGAGAGAGAAAGGCAGCTCTGGTCACGCCTTCCAGAGCAGCAGGACACCAGGAGGGAGCTGGAACTCCACCAGGACTGCAAGAATCCCATCAGGATGCAGGTGAGACCAGAGAAGCAGGAGACAGCTGTGTTAGACAAAGGGAACCCACTACAGGGGAGCTGGGCAAACTGGTGTGTCACCTTGCAGTGTCACAAGGCAGCTTCAGATTTTCTCTTGGGGGTGTTAAAGGAGGGATCCCCGAGCCTCGCGCTTACCCTGCAGACAGGGCGGATGTGCACTGCCTGCGAGTGGTAGCTGCTGTGGAACAAGCGCTCGGCCTTCAGCAGCACAGCAAGCCCAGCCTGCAGGGAGAAAAGGAGAAACTCAGCCCCAGGTCTGTTCTCTGCTCCCACTGAGAGAAAGGCTGTGCTGAGATTTCCCAGGGCATGCTCCTGGATTGCTGTCAGGAGCCCAGCTCCATCGGGAATGGTCCAACGAGGCAGCAGGACCTGCCGTTTACCTTTGAGCCACATGGGAGCAGCTTCTTCCAAGGCGTGAGGTTCTCTGTGCAGACAACCTCCCGGGGCAGGACGGCGTATCGCAGGAGATGGTGATCTGTCCCTGGGCAGGGAGGTGGAGGGTCAACACGCTGCTACAGCTACAGGCAGGGAACAGAAGCAGACCTGTTCCACCCCCTGGTGTACCCCCAGCCCACCACCCTCTCAATATCCCTGAAATGCCACAAGCTCAATGAGGAATAGATCCTGCTCTGTTCAGAGTGATCTGGAAAGAACAGGTAAGGGTATATTCTAGCAGATTTTTTTCATTAGTGCCTGAAATCCTCCAGTCCTGTTTTGTACTTTTCAAAGAGACCAGACAAGGGCCTGGGAGCATCTGCCTCGTACTGCCTGTGGGTTTCCTCTGTTCTGATCCAAGCCTCATTCATAGGGAGAGGAAATGCTTCCAGGAGCAGGTTAAGGGGCCCCGTTGTACACACCCAGACCCAGAGTCCTTGCAGGACCTGCCCCCGGACTCCCCACAGTGGCACGAAGCAGAACTAAAGCTAGAGGCAAGAGTGAGAGGCAGAGTTGGGCAGGCAAGTGCAGGCCGGGCTCACCGTTGGCTAAACCCAGGGGTTTGAAGGATGCTGTTGGAGTGACTGTGTTGGTCGAGTCAATGAAGTTGAGAGAAGCACAGAATATTCCCGAGAGGATGTTACTGAGTTCTTTCCAGGCTTTGTCAACACTGCGTGAGAATAGATACCAGAGATTACTCAGCAGCTCGAATCCTTGGAACAACAACCATTAGGTCAGTAACACCAGGGTGACCACGCTGGCTTTCAGAAGCTGCAAGGACCGTGCAGGCAGAGGCTGCTGGTCATGCACTCTCCAGGTGATGTGCGGTGTTTGGGGAAGGGGCTGTGAGACCTAAAGCAACTCCTTGGTGCAGCTCTGAATGCTGACCTGACCAGCAGACCCGGAATGGGCCACTTGTAGGGAGAAGAGAGCTCTGTGAGTCCATGTGGAGTGGCTGCTGCTCAGCCGGGGCTGTGTGCTAAGGGAGATGGTGACAGGTATTGGATGGGAGTCAAAGGAAGTGAGTCATGGAGGAGAGATTAAGATACAGCCAGATATAGCCCTGCCATGTCAGTGCAGCGAGGGGTTTGTCAGCACACAGCCCATGAGGGAATTACTCGCTCCTTTAAGTGAGCAAGGGTTTGCCCTCAGCACCACATCCTGCCCGTGCACTGAGCAGGGCTATGTTCTGCTTTTCCTTAGAGCTGCTCCTGGGGCTGCAGGCTCTTTATTCAAGCGGACATTTCCCAATCAGGAGGCCCCTGCACACCCCACACTACACAGCACCCAGAGCAGTGGCCACAGAGGGGACCCGGAGGGACAAACCAGCGGCCAGGGTACCTACTCG